TCATTAGCACCTCTAGTAATATATTTACTGAGAAAAATGTTGACGTGTTCAATACTTATTTTACCCGCTGTACGAGGAAAATTTTAAATGATAATACCTGAAAGCAAACTTGACAATGAGGGATGAGCAAAATGAAAGCTTATAAAGAGAAAAGCAAAATGAGAAAACACATGCAGAGAGGTTAGAAAAAAACATCTGAGAGACATAAATGAGCTACTGGAGGAAGATGGTTTGGAGGAAGACAAAGATCACATAGAGGGAAAGGAAACGGAAGAATGGATAAGAGAAATTCTAAATGGAAATATAAGATGGATCTTCATTTCAGATTTACAGTCAACCCTTATCGGCATATTCTAGGTTTGTATGTGTGTGTAATGGTGTGTGTGGGTGTGTGTGTGTGATGGTGGGTGTGTAGGCGGTGGGTGGGAGGGTGTGTCAGAATAAGATAGAGAAAGACATAGCAGAGATGAGAGGTTGATTTATTGGAGAGGAAATTGCCAACCATCTAGCTGTGTCACTGACGATATAGATTGGCTAACACTCATTTCCATTTTCTTCTCTTCATCCCCCATTCTTACCTCTTATTTTCCTTTGTTTGTCGGCTTTGATGCATTTTACCATATGATCATTTGCAGTCATTCTTTTGTTTTTTTAACTGATTTTTAACATTTTTCCCTCATCTCTTCTCCCCATCTTCCATAAGCCAGAAACGATGAAAAAAACAAAACTATCTGTGAACGAACGCCGCAACAGCTGTGATGGCTATCATCTGAAAATATTGTTTCTCTGGCCAAGCTCTTTATTTTCTTCTTCATTTTTCTCATTGTGCGCAGGGAAAGGAGATTGCAATCATTTTCAGTYATTTGTGACCATTTGTCTCATTTACTGTTATGTGTGCTCGATTGTTTTGCACTTTGTGAGGACTAGAGATGGCTTGCTCTCTTATTAGAGGGTCTTTTGTAGAACAATTTAAGAAAAAGCATGGATATTACAATGAAAATAAAGGGGTTGCATTTGTTGTTTGAAGGGACGTGATTAAATGCAACAGAGAATGTGTGTGTATGGTCTTCTCGAACCTTTTGCACATGTTTCAATTGGTGCACACGTAAACCCACGTCATATTTGTGTCCTTTCTGCAGCAACCTGAGCAATAATAAGCTGAGAGACATTCGTGAAGGCRCATTTGATGGTGCAAGTGGAGTTTTGGAGCTGCTGCTAACGGGGAACAAGYTAACTGGACTGCAGGGACGCATGTTCAAAGGCTTAAGTGGCCTCAAAACGCTGTAAGTCTAAATATACAGCAGGTTGTTTATATTTTATTATGCAAGCACACTGGCTATCACAAGCACCAAGAACMTTTTGTTATGTATTATTTTGGAAATTAGTTGTGTACTTGCTTAATTCTAACCTAAGCCTAAGAACAGCATTTTTTCCCCCTTTAATACTAAACACTGAAAAGGTAGTGTTCATTTTGGAGCTTAAAGGGTAGTGTGCAAAACTGTGTGTGTGTTTTGTCAGTAATGACTAACTAATGCTATCATGTATATATGTGCTGCCTAATGACTCTCTAATGATATCATGTCTGTCCCTGTATTATGTTAAGAGGCTCCCTGCTTCAGTAACAGCCTTACTAACTTGGTTAGCGTATCCCAGAGATGGCTAATGCTAACTAACTCACTTACRGCTCCACATGACTGCATGTCAAAAGCTAATGTTGTATTATAAAGTCTGTCATGTTGTTTTCAGTGGAGAATGGTTTAGATTTACCCCCGCATCCTGCCTGTTTTGTATTTTACCCGTGATATTAGAAATTAAATGTTGTATTATTTTTATGAATCGTTTGAAAATGTAATTCCTTGTCAAAAAATGTGTTTTTAGAGTAAAAAATAAAAGATTATTGTATATTTTATTAGGCACAAAGCCTGATTTTTAACAACTTTTTGGAAATAAATACAAATTGTTTTTGTTTTTTTGTTTTTTTTCAGCATGCTGCGGAGTAACCAGATCAGCTGCATTGATAACGGCACATTCACAGGGTTGAGCTCGGTCCGGCTGCTGTCGCTCTATGACAACAGGATTGCCAACATTGCCCCTGGAGCCTTCACCACCCTCCACTCCTTGTCCACCATGTAAGTCTTTTATTGCTCTAATACTTCACCTATCAGTTGCTCAATTCAAATTAAGTTTTGCATTTCCATCCAACCATTTTTTTGTCATCTCACCACATGCCACACCGTTTTCAACTATGACTGCACCCTCTATCTCATTTATACTTTTTCCTCCCTTTAGTAAATATTTTCTATAAAAATACAAACAAAAAAGACTATTATTTGTGCACACATTGCTTTCTGGACACAATCGTTCTCACAGATTACCTCAGTTTGGATCTCAGGATATTTGTTATCAAAGTTAGATATCTCAACATCTGCACACACGGTGCATGCATGACCAAACTTGGACACGAACAAGACCTGAAAGCTTGTTTTTTTTTTAATCCTGTCAAAAATGCACACACCTGCTGCAACAAAGACATGAATCATCAGACAAACATATTGCTTTAACTGATGTTGTATATTTGAAATGGATGCAAGCGGTTTTTGAAGGAGCGGGATGCTTTTATTAGTGGGAGGACGTCGACTGATGGTCTGTTTGCGCACTAAAGTACAGAAAGAAATAAACTTGTAAAGTAATAAAAAGCAATAACTTGCCACATAAAACTATGGTTTAAGGAAAGTTGAATGCAGGTCAAAAAAGAACAAATGCATGTTTGTAAGTGTATCTTGATTTATTTTTTTGTCCCCTGATCACCCAGACGTGAAGGTTGTAAATAATATATTTTATCTTCTCTGTAAAACATCTCATGTTGAATATTAACTGCTTTTATATTAGTAGAACAAACTGAGGCAGGATATGCTTGTTTACGCTGTCTTTACTTTCCTTCAAGCTTTCTTTCCTCCTTCTTCCTCTTGTTCTTGCTCTCTGTCCTGCTGTGTACCCATCATCTTTGATTCAAGTTTCTGCTCGAGTCTTTGGGGAGAAGAGATGGAAGAAAAGAAAAAAAAGGTGGGGACATAGAGGTGGATGATAGATGGCTGCGCTGTTGCAGAAAGTCGAGTTTACTCAGTGGGGCAACAAAAAAGGAATGAAATTGCATTTTATTACACTGGACTCGGGTAGAAATTATTAATTCCTTTTTCAGGTTTATTTCTTTACCGAATTTGTATTGTTACTGTAAGACAGTTTTTAAACATATGACTTCTTTCTAGAATAAAAGTAGAATAAAAGCAAAATAAAAGAAAGATGATTATGTTTTGTTTCTAGACTTTCAGTTTGACCCTTTTTTGTTTTCACACTAAGACTGATACTACAATATACCTTTGTTTCATTTGGTTAGAAGAAGACATTCAAATAAATAAAGGAATTTAGTACATGAAATTATTAAAACAAAATTTTGAAATAACACATCTGTTTATAGCAGCACGCTATTTTGTTGCATACAAAGAAACTACATTAATTAGTGCCATGATGAATATGATGAAAAGTCATATGGTAATTGCACAATTCTTTGGACATTACAATAAATAATATCTTTGTAATTAATTGTTTAGCTTTCTGAAGTCATTTGCTAAAATGTGCTTTATAAMATCACTTTAATTTTAACAATTCTGTGGTTTACTTGTTATTCCACCCACTATAACAGCCTCTCTAATTTTTTTTTTCTCAGTTTACTCTTATTTTATGAAGACATTTCTCAGCTGTGTTGATTTTTAACACTGCAGTTTTTTTTTTAGAAGAAAATGTCGTGGGCCAGAACAAAGTCAAAAAGTTCACACTACATGCTTTCAGTTTTGAAATGTTACTTCGAGAAGTTTGATAGTTCGGATGATTTGATATCAGTTGTATTTCTTTTGCAGTTTAAAACTGTTGGAAACAGAAGCTTTAGGTAAAATAATCATTGTTTATTTTGCACATAAAATAAAGTCCAGTCAAAGTTTTAAATTCCTAAATTGCTAATTCCTGCTTTCTCCCTTTTCAGTTTAAATGTGCCCCAAGATAAATGTTGCATAAGAAATATTTAAACAGCGTTTAGAGATGCAATAATAAATAAAATGAGTCTGTCTGTCCCTCATAGTTTCTCACTCTCTTTCATTCACAGTGTTCATTGTACTTCAAAACATGAATAAAAATAACCAATAACCTTTCATCTGTGCATTCCTCTTATTCTACCTCCTTTCGTCTTTAATCCTGATGTAATCAGACATGTATAACTGATGGAAAAGTGATTTACTTTGTTGGTTACAATGCAAATAATATTTTACTATGGGGACTGSCTTCCAAACTCCAATGCTTTAGATTTCATACACAGCACTATATTAGTGTCAATAATATTTTTAAATGTCTCTGCAGTACCACTGCTCCACCCATATGAGCAGCAAAAAGACGTTTTTAGACCAAATATTAAAGATTTGAACAAATAYGCACAAAAACATCAAAATTAACACAGAAACAGTACTATATAACATTTTAGACACATTCTAGACAGTTTATCAGCTAAAAAAAGTTAATTTTGGGGTAAGTTATTCTTTAACCTGGTGTTTTTCCCTGTAAAAATAAAAGGGGTGCAATTTTTGGGGAGTGGTTAGGGGAGTCATCCTGGAACCAGAAGGTCACTGGTTCGATCCCCCGTCCAGCCGTCTCAGTCGTTGTGT